CACACACACACACACACACACACACACACACACACACACAAGTGAATCATTGCCTGTTATATACTTTTGCACTTCTTCTAATTAAATTCCCTCGCTGAACTCCAGTAAAAACTTAAAGATGGATGGCAGTTCTTGCCTCTGATGTAGAGGTTATTCACGCTGTACGTTAAGGTGAGAAAAGTGCTGCAGGTTGCATTTCCAAACACTTGCAGATTAGCTGAATAGCTTTTGATAATTCCCATAGATTCTTCTTAAACTCCCACAGCTGGACTGGTGTTTCCATCAGTCCGGTGCTGGGTTTTTCCTCGCAGTGATTTCAGAATAATAAAAGGAAAAAACAAGAAAGGGCTTTGGTTTTACTTTTTGAGACAAGGTTGGAATAACAACAGCAAATTGTGTCTGACTGCAGCAAGGCCTGAAATACAGTAGCTGAGGTTTATTCCTCTCTTTCTCTCTACTTTAATCTCTGCTTTTATGGGAGTGTTTTTGTAAAGCACTCTTTTTCACTGAAGTCATCTGTTTATTGAAAGGTTAAACTATAAACAAATTAAATAAAGGTTTGGTGATAAATCGAACAATTATTGCCAAAGGTTTAAGCAAAAAAGGGTTGCACAGCTAGCACTCAGATTATTTGTTGAGGATGACTCTCAGCTGTTACCACACCAAATTTTAGCTCATTCGYACAAATGACTGAGAAAGAACCTTGTTTTTATTTCACAGAGTCATTTGGCTGTGGCAACTATCTTTTGATTCCAATATTGTATCAGTTGTAGTTGTACACCTAATTATTCTTTTATCTAATTTTATTAAAAAACATAGTGGCTTATGAGTTATTTTACTAACAGACTGGCACAACCTTAGTTTTAAAATAGATCATGTTTAGAGTGTGAAGAGAATAAGTCTTATAGCTACTAGGTCACCAAAGGGGAGGACAATATCTGTAAAATTGACAGTTAGTGATTTTGGTGTTTGCTTGAGTTGCTCAGCTGTGAAGAGTTTATTTAATTTTTTTAATTAAAATTAAAAAATAATATGATTCTCCTTTGTAGAAATTAGATTTAAAAACTTTAAGGGATTTCCAGACAGAACCTTTAAAAGGCTTCCATTTAACCACGAGTTAATACATGTTGATAGTCCTCTGAGGTCATCTTTTACTGTGTTTTTCTAAAATAAAAAAGAGGATTAAATATATAATAATGTGTTTGAACTGAGGACTGTTATTGTTTTAGTCAGTATCTGCAGGATTATGCAGCAGTTTAGTGGATAAAATGGCTTCTTTTCAATGGGTCACAACAAAAGAATGAAAGAAAAACACACACACACACACACACACACACACAC